GTATACACTTCTTTTCATACTAACAGCTTACATTTTTATTATATGAACACCTGGAAAGTTGAACACCAATACTCATTATTTATCAATTTCCGCGTATTGTGTCGAACAAGACTATGCTCCTTGCTGCCGTAGAATAGTATCTGGTAGCTCGTAGGAGAAAACCTCATGCGCGAACGATGAATATATGCAATCACTCCGACGTTTTTGTTGAAGTATTAGTCGGGATATTTGAGTTGGAGTGGGTAAATATATCTCAAAATCAAAGTATGCTAGGAAGATATTTATTGCTGACATGTATCATATTTCTGTTACCAAGTGGCTTTTATCAATGTCCTTAAATGCTATTTCTATCAAGATCTTATTATAAGATGATGACGTCATCAAAATAAACTGTTATCTCATTCATCAATCAAAGATTAATAAAAAAAATTGGCAGTGGTTGCCATCGAATTTCGCATGTGGTTTTTGTTCGCAGAACATTAATTTACCATTTTATCGTCAAAATTAATGACAGGATTCTTCGCGCAGTACTAGAGAGATCGATATGTTTATATGTTTCTCCGGAGAAAAAGTAAAATAGGAAATAACTCATTACCCAAGCTCTGATAAGGTGATTAGTTCTATATTTCTATATTTTCCGCTATTATTCATCGCGACTGTTTTCTCTTTCTCGCTGCATGGAGACGAAAGTGGGAAACCTAAAACGTTATGTGCCCAAACTATGTTTTTAGAAATTAAACTTATTTTCATTTATGTCGATGCTCAAAATATATACCATTAAATGATAAAATTGTCAAGTATCCACGATGAAATATGAATAGTATACTATTTCTATAAAATAAATGTGGAGGTTGAGACCGATTTCTAAGTTTGGTCTGCTAAGTGCTTTTGTTTTAAAAACCTTAATGTTGATCTAATATTTCATAATTTAACGTATACTGGTTGGTATGAAAATATGAAAAATATTTTTTTTTGCCCGTGTTAAGTGCAAATGCGTCTGTTTTTAGTGACTCGTGGCTGTCAATGATCGGAAACTCGCGTGCATGATCCGCCCTGCAAACCTGCAAAAACCCGCAAACAAACCGACCGGCTGCATACTTAAAATGTTTAAATTTGAAGTTGCTAAAACCTGCTGGTCTTGTACGATATCTGGTATATCGTTTTTGTGAGTTTCAATCATTGTTGTTTCATTGCAGTCATCGGGCTTGACGAAGTGCATCACAAATAGGAATCGAATATGTGATACAAGACCGCATTATACGATTGCAATCAGCGAAAATAAAAACTCATCACGGCACGAACATCATAATATTTTGGTCCTATTTCAGTGCTTACGCATGTCTGATATGTCTCGATTTTGACATTTTAAAAAGTGTGCAAAAATATACCTCGGTTTCAATGAAACCATATATAGATTTCCCATAATATTACAAACTATTTGTGCAATACTGTGAATGGGAATAATGGGCGTGACATAAACTCAATTTTCAATTAATTCAAATGAAATACTTGTTGTGTAAAATAGATAAATAAAAATATATATAAGAATATACCTACGTAATTGTGAGCAGAGAATTCTTAATGGCCCGCGGTGGACAGCACAAATTGATTTTGGCCCCATCATAAAAAAAAATATCCACTCTGGTCCAGGTGGACACAATCGGTATCTGTGCAAATGAGTCTGAGTGGTATCGCAACCAGAGGCTCTGAGTTTAGCGATGCCCATAATAGACTCTGCGTATTTGCAGGCATTTTCAATTCCACTCCAGTAAGAGTCCTTTGATGCAAAGCAAAATAAACAACGCTGCATTATATTAACTACGCGTGTGAGTGATGTTGCACGTAGAGCATAATTAATGTAACAATGTCGCTATGGACATATTTATTGTTTGTTATCAGCGTGATCTGAAATTAATTAAAACTTTATCGCAATCTTAATCTTGTTTTGAACGATTTCTTCTGAGATATGAAATGCAGATCGACAGTTTCTAGAAAATTATCGAATACCACGCGAAAGTGCCGCACGATTCCCGGAATATCTGATTTAATAACATTATTTAAAACTAATCTTTGCTGATGTTTTTGTACTTCTTAATACTTGTTTTGGAGTATCAACCAGAGATCGTGATTGCTCGGGTCGTCCGCTTTAATAAATATTTGTTTACAATGAGGACGATGTATTTGAGTAGGTTCAATATCTGTTTGCGGAGACCAAATATATGCTCGCCCGCCCCAAAATATCATTGTCGGCTATTGGGTAGAGTAATTTTGAATAAAGTTCATGTGAATACAAAGTTCATTTTACAATGGCGGGAACGACACATTTGCACGCTTTGTAAGCGTTTTGTTCAATTTCATTCATTCGCCCGGCGAATAAAATACACCCCTTATTTTTGTTCGTGTACTTGAGTCGGACATATCAAAAGCGCAAGTACAGAATGGAGTTCACATTTATGCTTTATTCGTAGCTAGCCCAGCTAAATGCCCTGCATCAGGTTTGTGAAAAATAAATTTAAATATAACGTGACGATTCTTTTCAGAATTTCCCAAGACAAATTGAATTTCATTTTCATCACTCTACTTCGTGAAAACAATATTTTAAAACTTGAGCTTGAATTGTTTATTTATCGTCTTTCGACGAGATTTTTCCGTGTGAATTATATCTTACATTTACTATGATAACAATCTATGTTATCCGGTTTTCTCACATCAATTCTGTTTATTTGGCAATCACCAGTTATTTCGATCTAGCAGATTGAAAATGCGAATTATCTGATGCGGCCCGAAAATGATTTTGTGGAATATTCGACCAAAAGTCTATCAAGCCTCTGTTTTTCTGCTTTAAGACTTTTGTGTGTTAATTAGGATATTTTGGCCGACTTGTATATTTTTAAATCGGATTCATGCTCGTGAAATATCAGAATTCCATATTGATGTTTACATATTGACATGCGTGTAAACGTCGCTTGTACATCTGCAGATTGTCTCAAATAAGACAACGACAATCATATGCGAAAGCTTCCAGGGATATTTATTATGATTTTTCGAGTATTTATAAATCGCCCAGACGAACATAATTATAGAATCCAACGACGTCTCTTACGCACTTTTGGTTTGTAGCAGACAAGGTGAACTGTATAATTTTTCTATTTTTGGACGATTCGCGCGTTCTTTCATTCTGCTTAAGTTGTTTTTTATTGTAGAATATGTAGGGGAAGCAGTTAAGACTTTTACAAACTTCGGTTACACTTGGGCGAGGTGATGTGACGATTCGCGTGTCATTATTTATCTAAGATATTTTAATTGCAGAATATTTGTAAACATTGTTCAATGGCTGACTACCACCAGTTACGAATAATTCAAAAGTGTATTTTGTCAGAATTTTCAGCTAACAATTATTTTTATATTACCAACAAATAACTCGCATTCCATAAAATGTATGATTACGATATATATTTCCCGAAAACAATGTTCTCTCCCTTTGTTTACTGGTGAATTGGGATAATTTATCATACATTTTATTATAGTGTAATTTCAAAATGTCCACAGATGATTTTGCGCATAGACAAGATTGAAAATTGATAAAATTTTTGCAAACGTTTCAAAATAGTCCAATTTTGAAGTTCGATTTCACGCTTTTCGTAAAATAGGCAAGGCATCACGTTGATAATGGGTTTGAAATATTAATTGGGAGAATACAGCTGCCACACTTGTTAAAATCAGATAAAACTACCACGAAAAAGTCCGTCATGTAACTGAAATTAGATTCTAATGAATTTGGGGTTGTTTTAGCTCGTAATCTAGTCCTTCCGTGTTATTCATACTTCGAAGGTGTGTTGTTGAAATTATCTTGATTATTGGAATTAATTACATTATAAGCGTAACTAACATCAAAGGCGACTATTACAGCAAATGTTAAACATATCACTCGTGTTTTTTCCGACCGGATGAACTTTGGTAACATAAATACCACGAAGGAAGCATACATATTTACACTCTGAATGTTTACTTTTAACGGCTCTAATATGCAATTTCTTGATATGCGAAGTTCAGTCCCTGACGCCGATTTTGAGAAAATTTTTGGCAGGTTTTAAATGATGGTTCAATATAGTAAAGTATTAATGTTATAATTCAAAATAAAATGGCGATGTAATCGTCAATGTCATCCGTTTTAGAGAGCATTTTATTGACTATTTATTTACTCATATGCTGTAATGATAAGTTGTGGTCATTTTACATTATACTGGGGTTAGTAGTTATTAAAAAGTTTGTCTAATATCTACCCCTGTAAAACCGGTATTGATACACCTAACTTATCCAACTCACTCATGAATCGAGTACGGACGTGTAGTTTTTACGGATTGCGTAAGTGTCGCACTTACTTTATATGAAATATGAAAGTTCAATGATTTGTTGTGGGTTGCTTACGCATTCTGAGCTTCTAAAGTACGTACCACACACATATGTCGTAAGCTATTTTGACGATTTAGGCAAATTCAGTAATTAGTAAAGAGAAACTAAGAATTTGGAAGGGCGTTAGCCGGATTTATCAACGTAATTCATGTACGTACGCGTGGCATTTCTATGACAGTTCGGATTTGTTTAGTTAATGCTTCCCTAATGAATTCATTCTATTTGTCTTCCTTCCTAATTCGCGCTGAGCACATAAACACAAAATGGCGGGATTCATTTAATGTCAATGCAATTAGTCCCACTCTACCAATGTTGTCAAATCCGATGATGTAAAATCCTGTGTTACATTATTAAAGATGATTGTTTGTTGTCGCGCGATGACAAAAACACTAATAGTTTCCTGTTTTAGAGGTGATCCGAAACTAAATGAAATGAAGTCATTAGAAAGATCATTGTCGCTACTGCACCATAACTTTGTGGCACATTTAATATTTTTTCCACATTAGCCACACTAGCACGACCTTTCGCGTAACCCCAATACAAAACAAATTCAAGTAATTAGACATATTATGACTCATTATGTTTATATGACGGGAACTATAGGACACATTTATAATAGAAAGAAGCAAAACATTGAAACAATCTATTCATTGATAAAAATAACAAGTACAAATATAAGCGTGCTTGTGACAGCAGCAAGTCGAATGAATCAGTTAAAAAGAACCAGGAGCAATTTATGGACCTCCTGGAGTATGCGCACCAAGATGGCGCACAACCTGAACTCATGTTTTGTACCAGGTTAGGGTTCAGGTTATGCGACATCTTGGTGCGCATACTTCAAGATTACTCAATGTATTCATATAAAGAATTTTCATAAATAAGATGACATAAAAATCAATTTTTGCACAGTGAAACAAACACAGGTTAAAGGTAGCAATATATAAATGTATTCATACACGGTACACAAACCAGTCAAGACATATGAAGTACCATTGCAACAAAATAATATAATAAATAAAAGCAAAACTAGAAAATTAAGCATTTGTTTTTTAAAATAAATTAAATACTATAATGCATAGACTTTTGTTACCAGTTACCTATAGGAAAATAGTATAAATCAACAACCTAGCTCACTTAAACTAACAAAAGTGTCTTTGTTGACTAAACCAATTTTATTTGGCCTGGCCATCATCAAATGATGATGCAAGTAATAGGGTCCAGAAAATCGTTATATTTAAGATTGTGTGAAATCACGAATATTTCGTTCTAGAACTATATACCACAAAATCAATACATTGATGCAAACAAAAGTAAAAAGCGCGAAATCCCTATCAATTAGCAAGATGTCCAATCAGTGAACCAAATGTTTAACAGTGGGTTAAATTTTCGGCAAGTTAGGAAAATATTTTTAATATTATTTATATGAGCAATCAATATAAATATTTGGATCGATTTATATTTGTGATATTTCACGTTGATGATTTTTTTCAATACGTCAATAATATAATTAAGTATATGTCGTTATCAAATTTGCATGTTTTTTTTTATCAATGCATTCTTATTAGTTTTTTCGTGATAGAAATTTGTCGGTTGTGGCGGGCAATCACACACCATTCAAGTATGAATATTTTGTTCGACTTAGCATCATTACCTTTAATATTTTAATTATGGGATGTCTCAACGAGAAGGATTCATATCTAACTACTAACTACTGCGCAAAAAATAAATTCTCATATCATTTTGTATCAAGCTACATAACAACGTTTATGTCAGAAAAGTTGGGAGAATGAGCAAAAGTTAAAAAACTAAAATCGCAAACACTTAAATTATGAACAACACTAAACTACTTGCTTCAGCAGTCGTAAAGTGATCGATCAACGATTGAGTCTAAATCTTTCGGAGATAAAGTCATATGGACATTTATGTTCGATACCAGTCGACGACATATATTTCGATATTGTTGTAATATTATTCCGTTTGTGATAAGTTCGTCGCTGAATGATCCCGGTTGATAATTGTTGATTTTGTTGCAGGACTCTTTGCTAATCCTGGAAAAAATAATTCTCGGTATAGGCACGTTTTACTTTATTATAAAAGATCAACGAAACCAAAAGCGATGATCTCGTACCAAGAAAATATAATTAAACGTACAACAAGACATTGTTTTTAAGCAAAAATCTCAGAAGATGCCGTGCTATTTTGACATATAGCGAAGCAAAACACTTATGACGACTCTCAACTTTATGCCCTTCGAGGTGTCATTGTTTTGTCTATAAATTATAATTCCTTTCACAGAAACAGTATTTTTGTAACATTTAAATCGAGTTTATTTCATAACTGAATGCTTGTAATCTGTTTTTCATATGGACTGTCGTTCACTGAAAATATTATTTGATTATTTTTTGACTTTGCTATTTAAAAAGATATTTAACCATTGTCTGCGCCCATTACATTTATTGTGTTTGTGATAGCATAGACAGTGTACTACAAAACTGGTATTGCCGTATACTCACTTCGCTGTGGGATGAAAATGATCATACTTCGAAAATGCAAAAACCGCTACTTTTATTCGACCGAGTCGCGATATTTTGAGTCCATTTAGCATGTACGATGTATCATTCAGAACGCCTAACTATTTCCCCCTATGTCTCTTTTATTTGTATTCTACCTATTCATATAACTGTTTGTGTATCCTCGTGAAATGACCAAACATACACATTTTACATAGGTTATTTTATTTCCTTATTTACTCTTACATTAAATTTGTTCTCATTAACCGATAGGTATTGTTTTTGGAAATTTTTAATTTGGTAGAAGTGCGGTGACCAAGCAATATGGGGGAATAATCAAATATTTTATATGAGTGAATAGTAAACTTACTTTATTGTAACTTGGTGTTTTCCGTCTATTATCGACTGGGCACATCTGAAAACAAGTAAAAACAGTTTATTTGAAAACTCATTCATAGAGTAAGTAAGTACTGACAGCAATCAGCAATGATATTATTGGAAATAATATTTTAATTGGAGTAAAATAAAACATTATGAAATATTTCAAATATAGATCAAGCTGGTATATTTCGTTTTAAATGTAACTGATTGTTTTCGTAGAAAATATCATGTCTATTACATCAAAGAATTCGACATACACATATAAATGGTCGCATTTTCATTCGATGGAAACATAATAATTGTAGCAAACACTATTTTACACTCGGCGCCGAAGAAGTTGTTTTTAAGGCTTGGGATGGGCATGAAGGTGGGATCGTGTGCTAAAAAGAAATACTTTCTCGTAAATAATCTGGCAATTCTGGGCGCAATTGATTGTTTTGAAAAAGTGACATATTGTTTATAACAAAAACTCTTTTTATTTAACAATGTAGTGTAAAGTGAAGAAACCAATATTTGTCTTGGATTTAAAGATAAAATCTACCTCATATACTTTCATTAATTTACTCTTCGATGTTGCGTCTCTACTCATAAACACACATTTAAATGTCAAATTTTGATGCTGAAAGATTTTTACCAAATATTTTTGATTTGTGGACTGAACTTCCACAAAATTGTTTGCCTGACAATGTTACCTTAGGGTTCAAAAAGCCTTCGTCATTTGTAACCCACAGACTGTTTTTCAGCACAACAGTAAATATTGATGTATCCCTGGTGATTATTCAATCAGTAAGATATCCACGTAACGTTCCATTTTATAAGTATTATTCGATGAAATGTTGCGTTTTATACAAAAGTCAATGTTTCGTTGATCGTTTGTCAATGTGATATGTTTGCATTGTGATGTCATATCAGAAGAAACTATAAAGTGTTGAACTAAATTGGGAAAATTCAAATTTGTTGGAAAAGATTGTGTGAGTGGTTGCGTGGGAGCCAATTATACGTTGGAGAACTGAATAAGTTATATTCGACTTCGATGTTAATGGTATATATATGTATATAATTTCATATACGAGTACACATATGAATTCATATATATAATTCATTTTTTCAGTTGACGACATCTGTCTTATAATCACCGCTGCAGCGTTGCGAATGTGAAGGTTGAAAGAGGGATAAAATATCAATTGAAAATCTAAATTTTACCTTTCTCTCACAAATAATAGCATTTCTGAGCCAATGTTAGATCTCTGTTGTCTGTGCAGAGTTGTACCCGGTGCAGTTGTCGTTTCTTCTATCGCCGCATTGAACGTTGTCGTGGGGTGGCGTTTGATGTCGCTGTAATTAGTTCAAGAACATTATTATTACGAAAAGTGAAAACATCCCAATCCCGTTACATATTTGATTTATATTTAAGGATAATTAAAGGATGTTATCAGTCGTTAAAGTTCAAGATTTTTATTTGGTTACAGTAGTCAAATTTCTTTAACGACATTTCTGTTCAACTTTTGGAGCGAGAGGCTAAAAGTTATCAAGATCATATACATTCTATTTTATAGATAAACAAAATGACTATACACTAATTGAACCAAACAATTTAGCACTACATTGTTTAAACTCACCTCGGGACAAAAGGAAGTCCATTTACCGTAGACGTGTTGAAAAAAAATACTGTCAGATATATTAGACTGACGAAATATTTGCAGAAATACATTTTGCTGCTTTTTCTTTTTGAAGTGATTTTCAGGTCGCCGGACTTAAAAGTAGAGGTGTGTTTCATAGTATTTGAACAGCAGTCCATCGAATTAACGAATTCCGATGGTGTTCGCACCTGTCTTGTGCTCGATTGTTTTTCATCGACCATGGAGCAGAATCCGGGTTTCTGCATTTTCTAAGTAAGTAGCTGGACGATACTAGATTATTAATCTGTAAGTAAAGACACGCATCGGTAACACATTTTTCTGCTAAGTAACTAAAATATAGTACTACCCAGATCTACAATTTCCCGTTATACAAAAATCCATTTTTCACTTGTCCAGATATTTATTGCTAACTCGATAAATGTTCCGATCACCCGTGAAATTTCACTGCGGAACCTGTCATGTTTCTTATGTAAAATAAACGTTGAGTTGGCGTATCGGCCATTTCATAAAATCCTTTTTTCTTTTCAACATTTTTTCTCTCACTAGAGAAATACGTAGCAAATATCGTTATGCGCTTTGAAAATATTCTAGTACTGTACGAAATTATTTCGAAATCAAAAATTCTAATGATTGGTACTTGACATTTCTTGTACGCAATTGCTTCTACGAATAGCAATAAGTTTCGAGTAGTATTTATTCAGAAAAAAAAAATGAATTTTATGCTAAGTGACTTAAATATAGTACTCCACAGAATTATAACTTCCATAAATGCCCCGACCACCCGTGAGATATCACTGCGGAACCTGTCGTGTTTCGTATGTAAAATAAACGTTGTGTTGGCGTATCGAGCATTTTATAAAATCCTTTTTTCTTTTTTACATTTTTTCTCTCCGCAAGCACGAGAAATACGCAGCAAATATTGCTACGCGCTTTGAAAATATTCTAGTAAGTACCGTATGAAATTATTTCAAAATCGAAAATTCTTATAATTGGTACTTGACATTTCTTGTATAAAATTGTTTCTACGAATAGCAATAGGTTGCGAGTAGTAATTATTCAGAACTAAAAAAAAACTTGGATTAACACTAGGTATCACAATGAATGCAAGAATCCGAATAGCAATAGGTTTCGAGTAGTATTTATTCAGAAAAAAAGATTGACAATCGCATTTAAAAAATCGTATAATGCTTTGCGGCTTCTTGCATTCATTGTGATACCTAATGTTGATTTTGACTTATTTTTAATTACAGTTAAGTTTCAAATATATATGTGAGTTTGTTTTCCCACTTCAGAAGAGAATTATTGACAAATGAACTTATAAGAAACTTCTGTTCAGTGTACAATGTCGACAATACATGTCTGTTTCTTGGCGTTGCGAATATCAGGTAAACCAAACTCAATATCACGTTTATCAAGTGTCATGTCAAAATACACTTGTTATGTACATAATTTCCGGCCATCGGCTATTTTGATTATATCGCTATCGAGATGCAATTTAGAAAGGCAATAATTCAAAATCTCATAAAGTGGTAATTTAGTTAAAATAGCACTACAAACGGCGGCAAAAGTAACGTTTTCTGGTCAATATTGATAACTGGTTTTTAACATTTTTCACGCACGAAACGCATCCAGTAACTATTACATTACGTAACATAACAAGTTTCAAACGGCTAGATAGAAAAAATCGTGCTCAATAAAAATTAGTTTATAGTTTACTGTTCTCCTGAATTGTGTAAATACTATGCGACAACGTTGATCCCCGGACATTGACACGACAGACAAACTCATTAGAGGCGCGTGGTAAGATTACAAATATAAGAATATTGGGAACTTTAATGGTTTAAACAAAACTCTTAAAATTTGAGCAATATGATCTTTGTACGAATAAAACGGATTAATTGAACAATATAAATTTTATTCCTAAAATAAAATTCTTCGGGCAATGTTATTTTGCAATATTGTTTGATACAAAAGGTTACTACAATGGCATTACCTCTAAAACAAACTCACCTGTGTTTGCTCAAACAGAAATCACATGGTGAAAGGTTAGACAAAATTTCCATTGCGGCAATCGAAGATAAAGGTTAATTCACGTTTGTTTTGCACATTTATTCCCTGACTGACGTCATAGCGATTCTTTAAAGTTCCGTGATTCAAGATAATTGGGTGAAGTAATGTATGTATGATCCGCTAAATGGTAATCGTTTATTATTAGTTAGAAGCATCTCACAGTCACACCCATAAAATATTATTTAGAAGGAACAAACGATTAAATGTGACGAGAGGCAAGGTTTGTGTCGGTTTCTGTTCGACGTCGGCTCTCGAACTTTCTAGGGGGAAAGTAACCGGTCGGATTGTATGATTTGCTCTAATTATTTGTGTAACTTAATACCTTTTCGAAAACATCTTTAATGGTTTAGGGGGCCATTAGGGGATTGGCGGCTGAAAATTACGAAACAAAATAATCCAATTGGGACCACATTTCCGGCTAGAAGAAATGACGCAACGTGCGATAAAGATAGTTTCTCTTGCGCAATTATTGCCCAACAAATTGCTCTATTGAATAACAACTAAGATAGATGAGAATGCTTGTGTATTTTTTTATATACCTTTGTTTATTTTAGTGCTATAATTTGATACTGTCCTAATTTTATGAAAGTCGTTCATTTAGTAAATAATCTGGTATAACCGAACACATACAAGGCTCATTTTTAGCTGTACTCGACCAGCTTCAGCATGCATGTTCACTGTGGGGTGGGTTGTGTTCGCTAACGTGTTGCAGGAATTTAACTACGATTTCAGTTTGATTTCTTAATAGTAAAGAAAGCAGTATGCGTTTGGCCTGTCCTTGAATTAGTTCGGAAGATTATTAGATCTAATGATGAATTCTGTTTTTTTTTCAAGAACTTTTTGCTTTATCATGAAGTGATCTGAAATATCTGTTTGTTTACCTTTGAACCATTATTCGAAGTAAGTCGACGCTACATAGGTTGGTGCGGTTGCGGCTTTTAAAAGTTCACTCAAATGATAAATTGGCTTGAATTACATTGAATGTGGTATAATTTCGTTTTATGCACTGTATGTGGGACTGGTGCCACATAGAACTCATGTATTGTCGCGTAACGCATGATGGATCTCGTGGAACAAACTTCTTTTGATGAGTAAGCACTGTTGCTCTTTAATACCTTGTGCTAACATATGATTCATCACCACGGCAAATTCGACCGGTTTTTTAGAGTAACTGGACATGTTGTGGATGACGTCATCGTACGAAACTCGAGAAAAACACAATATTTTTAGCTAATACAATGCAACAGATAATCCAAAAGACGGGTACACCAAGATGTCGGAATTAATAACTTGTTAATTAACAATTTTTTTTCTATTCTAACTGGCAGAATATTTTTTTCTGCATGAACAGGTATATTTATATATATTAGAGTGGACACTCATCCACCGATAGCCGGTACTTTTCAGTTTTCGTAATCGATTTACACTAAGCTCTCCTCTAGTAACAGCCGAAATATACTCTTGATACGATTAACTCTCGTTAATCACGGCCGAATTATACCCCCTTGTAAATAGATTTCGCAAGTAGTTATTTTCGAGAACTGATACGTGACTGTTCGACCGGTGAGCTGCATGAATGGCCGAATGGCCACGACCTCAGTCTATAACTGATATAGACAAATATTTGATCAGTTTCATTGTACATTTTTGTCAAGAGTAAATATTTATATTTAGATCAACGCAGATAACATAAAATCTATATAAGAATCTGGAGACCCCCACTTGCGCAAAAGAATAATATCATTCTTTTCCCATATATGATATTGAATTTGTCAACCTGACATTTTATTGATGGGCGGTCGAGTCGATAAACATCGATGGATGGTGGCCTGATCACGCATTTTTCTTCATCTTTAGCAATCTATGGCGTAATACCGACGTGATACAAAATTTTTTGCATGTTTACATAATACAAATGGAAGTTGATTATGTCGAATTCACGGCAGATTAAGATCGCGCTCCCTTTGTTTCCGTTGTTAGTGACCTAATCGGGTATCATTAGATCTTCTGGTAGCTTGAAAATTTATCTGATTTGTTTTGAATTAAGATTATAGCCATTAGACCAGCCTCTTTACTTGCTCAGGAACGAACAACAGAGCAATGTTCAAATAGTTCACGCATCAATACCGGCACGGCCATAGATGAGAGATACTGAGTTAGCTGAAAAGATCGACGGTTAAGCATGGCGAAGAGGGAAAAGCGCGATGGAATAAAACGGCCTTCTGGCGACTTCATCCATATTTAAGTACTAATATCGATTGTCCCGTTAGTTTAGAAGAAAAACCGACAACAATCACCCAACAACATAATATTTTAAACATTATCAGTTTAGTAATAATATCTTTCGTTATAGAATAGTCCGCATAACTGGAAGAAGCATTTGAACATGAAACGAGAAATACCATAGTTCTGGTACAAAAAAACTACGCCAGTTATAAGCACCATTAAATTAATAACAACAACAACAAGAATTTAGCAAAATGATTCACACGTCCACTTCGGGGACAATAATTGTTTCGTTCAATTCGGAGACATCTTTTATGAATAGATTAAGAAGAAAAGTTACCATATTATCACTTGAATTTTCATGACATATTATAACATTAAATTCTACATCACGATTGATGCATTAATATTATTCATCGGTGTATTCATGGATAAAGTTAAAACATAGGCGCAAATAATTTAGCGTCCGAATGATATGCCGTAGATATATTGTCTCAGAGGCGCATAATAACTGTATATCGGCAAAGATCGAGACTACATTCTCCCGTTGGTTGATGCTCTACACCAGAGTCGTCCAACCTTTTTGGCCGACGGGCCACATGTAGTTTACTAATAATCGCGCGGGCCACTTAACAAGGTAGTTATGTTGTCGTTTTGCTACACTGACTACAGGTTAAAGAAAAAACAAACAATACCCTCACGCCAAACTTTTACAATTATTAGAACAATAAAACTGTTGTTTCCCAACCATTGATGAGGCGCCATCATCGGTTATTCCCGAAAGTTTCGTCAAAGACAAGCAAAGACGCTTGATCATTTTTATCACATCTCCCAACAAATCAATACCTATAGTCGGACCCTTTAATGATGGCTGCGAGCTCTTCGGTAATTTCAAATCATCATCAACTCCCCGCAAATTCGCTAATTGAGCAGTAAACTTGATGTCAGTGCTTTTGTCAAGCGCCATATAATATGATGAAAATTTCCCCGATTT